GGACATTTTAACCACATTATACGTATTTATACAGTAAGCACAGTTAGTTAGGCTAGTTAAGGATGCGCGCGCATACAGCTAGCGATCCTGGTGAAGATTAAGTACAACGACGGATAGCATCCACTGAAGTGTATGTATTTGTTTGTGAAATTGCGTTTGCGAAGAGCTAATTAAAAACTTAAAAATTAATTTGTATTATTTCTTGACGCCGTGGTTTTATATTCTTAGGATTTCAAGGGCAAGTCATTAAAGAACACGTAAAGTTACATCGAACCAACGTTTTAACCTTACATTTGACATGTATTGAAAAATCTACATTATACTAATATGTGTATATATATATATATATATATATATATATATATATATATATATATATATATATATATATATATATAACGAACTTGACTATATACCTTACAGCGCCTTAATATCTGAATCTATTGAATCAATACTAATGAAACTTTCGTGCTAGCTTCCTTTAAAGGTCTGGAGTACTACAAGCTAAGATTTATAATCACAAACCTTAATATATTTACACAATAATTACATTCCTGGACTTTTTTCGCCTAGCATTGTATCACAGATTTAAGAGTGTATTAATGTACAATTGTTTAGCTGCGCTCCACCAGAGAATGACGACTGAGATCTACGATTGAGTTCATCTGTGCACAGAATTGCGTATTTATTGGAATGACCAAAGAGGTTATAATATATTGTAACCTCCTTGGAGAGAACTGTTAGTTGTTTTGTACTTTCATTTGTCTAATCTGGAATGTTCATATTTAAGAAAGATAACGACAGTTTTAGTTTACTCTTTATATACAAGTAACTTGGATATTGATTTTAATTGCGTCTAGGCGTGAATGCATTAAGTGTAGAAAAGACGTGAAATTATGGAAAAAAAACACTTTCCTGACGGATGTGCTTCACGTCGTAAAATGGTGTGAATACACATGTGTTCTACAAAAAAAATATTATTGGGTTTGCAGCAATAAGCATAATTACTACTACAATTACTACTCTAATTTCTCCTGCCACTAGATCCACGTCCAATCTTCTTTCGTCTCGCCTCTTGACCACGCCCGGCACTGGAATTCTCGTCTCTGCTTCTTTCTTCGCCCCTCTACCTATGCGGCACGCCGACTCGTATTTCAAAGTATTTCCGCGTGTTTAACTGCACAGTTCTGCTGCAGTCTCTCAACAGCTCACAGTTCTCACTTTCGCGGTCCCTCTTCCGCCTCGTAGATGCTACTCCACTACTTTCCACAGTCTTTATGCAATATTACACTTTGCCTAGTTGATCACAGTTCAGAAGGCTGAATCTTCCGCTATCACATTATTTTTTCGCCTGAACAATTACTTCGCACCGTACTCTCTAAAAAAAATTGCGTCTCACAATCCTTACATCTAGGTCTCTACGCACGTCTGAACTATTCGACGACCGTACACAAGAAAACTGCCCTCTTAATAACTACCGCTTTGGCTGACCGCCCTGAACCTCTCACCTCGGCGTCTGGTTCAGAAAGAAGTTCTTACTAGCGCTGTCCCATGATAAGATGTCGACTCCGCCCTACCGGCCTTCACTCACCGCACTCGGCGTCTCGTACAGAAAAAGGGACTATCGGTCAGCTGATCCGCTATTTATAAGTAGCGTGACGTTACGACGAGCCTTTCCGCGTTTTTCCGTGAGCTGGAAGTTCGCCGCCGTCCTACCGCGGGCAGCAACTAACAGATAGCACTGCTTCGTTAGTAATTTATTCAGCTCGCCTGTGCTCCGGTGATCGTCTCTGGATTCGCCGACGCTTTAGTGGCACGATCGAGAAAGACGCGAAATGTCGTGAGATATTAGGGAGTTTTAGCGCCATGCGTAAGGAGATATCCTTAAACTCTATTGATCACGTGACTAACGCTTTCATAAGGTCGTAATGAACAACGTTCATATGAGTTTGAGCAATTGCAACATTGCGTTATGCATTATAACAAAGGAAGCATTTCAAGCGTTGAACAGAGAAATTGCATAATATATCAAAGAGTGTAGGCTAGTTGTGAGACATTTAAAACAGGTTACGAGTCAACAGACCAGCAAATACACATTGTGCTTGGAGTTTTAGATTTTGAATCTGCTTTTCTTGAAAATGTAGGAAGTACCTTAAAACAGCGTTCGTTATGAGCATAAGATATAACCTATCCCGAAGATATGATTTGAACTTCTTTTTCGCGAATTTCTTTCCTGTCACCTCTCCAACATATCCCGTTAATTTTTGCCAGCGTTGTGGAGTTCGTTAGGAATAATTGTAACTGCCTTACATACGAGAATTGGTTTATTAGAGTTGGAATAAATAACTTTTCCTGTTTTTAGGCGGCCATTTTGCCTCTTGTAAGGTGCCCGTAGAGACTCCCACAGGCGTGCATTGTTTATGAAGGTGTAAGGTCGTACCTTAGGCCTAAGGTAAGACGTTATGACTTCAAGGTCTGTCACGTGACTGTTAGTGCATAACGTCGCTACCTTACGCGTGGCGCTAAAACTCCCTAATAGGGCCATCGTGAAGGCACAAGCCAAGAAATCAAAACCCGTCCATTTTTACAGAACATCCTGTACTTTCGAAAATTAGAGAAAGTTAAAATTTTAAAACTACAAAATTTAAGATAGAGATTTTTGTCTTAAACAAAATCTGTTCTAAAAAATCAGCTCTTTAAAAAAGGCAATGAACAATTTAAAAAAACTAGTTTTCTCGTAATTTCTTTTTTAAAGTAATGCAAATTATAAAGGAACGTTTTTTCAAAAACGGGTCCAATTGTTTTTCTGTAATTTTTTCCCACAGATATACAAGCAACGCCAAAAGGAATGACGGAGGTTTCATTTCCGTTGATTTCTTAATTTTCGGAAATTACATGTTGGAAATATTAGGTTTAAGCAATTACATTTTTAAGCTTCTGTCCGAAATGGTGGATAGAAGCACGGCGAGAACCTGAGTTCGAGTCTCGGTGCGGAAAATAAATGTTGCTGGTTGAAAACACTTTTGCAGGTTCATGTTCTAGTATAATGTTGCGTACCAGTTATAAATAATGCGATAAAGTATGTGCGGTTTTAGCTCCACTAGTTTTGTTTACTAAGGATGAGTTTTGCAGATACTTTGTGCGAGAAAACAAGACCCTACAGATTCCGCGACTATTGGGAGTGTTAAATCAGGCAAGAGCGTGAAATAAAGCTTTTCTTCCCTTTTCACTGAGGGACAAATTATCACCGTTTTTCAGCGCTGAAGCTTCCAAACAGATTTTCAGAACAGTAAAGTAAATATATGAATTTTGTAGGAAATTTTGTCAACGTTAATTTTGTAAATAGAGATGATTAAATGCATAATTATGGAGATAGAAGCGAGAAACTGGAAAAAGTGCGAGTTTTTTCCTTCCTTCAATTTTCTCCGTGAAGCCGGAATTTTTCGGTGGCAATCATAAAATTCGAATTAAGCGCACCAAGAATTGAGAGGAAAAAAATCGAATTGTTTCCCTTTGTTCATTTACCTAGTAGTGAGCGGACTACTAGTGCTAATAATGCTAAATATAGCATTAATACAAGTGGGACATAAAAAAATCATTATTACAAGTGGGACATATTAAAAATCATATTTCATCTATATGGGCTTTATTACAAAATGTTACAAGATTGCATTTCTCAAATAGCACCACTGTCAATACAAGTCTCATTTCTTTGACCCTGAACACAGTTTGAGAAAAAGTATTCTCTAAAATATCCTTGACACATAAGTGGAAGATGGTTTACAATTCAGTACAGCTAATGTCTAGTGTAAATTACTTATATTCTAGATTACAACTTACAATTACAAATTTCATAAATAAATTGTAATATAAAACAAATAAATTCCTATATTAAGTATTTTGACCATTTAAGTAATAATCCTTTATGATTGTCATTGTTTTTTTAAATAAACCTTTAATTTTTAATTCCTGGCAATATTATTTCTTCAATTCCTGTTCATCACTACTATTCTCATTATTACATCATATGCATTACAACAACAAATAATTCTTAGTTTGATACAGAGAAACAAATAAGGGAAATCCCCCCC